TGTTTCGTCAGATCATCCGGAAAGCCGTCTCCGGCATGCTGCCAAAGAACCGACTGAGGGCCAAGCGGTTAGACCGACTCAAGATCTTCCCCGGCCCCGAGCACCCGTACGAGGCCAACATCATCAAGGACCACGCTGAGGAGTTTGGCCGGACATTCAAGCAGGCGGCAGCGACAGAAGAGGCTCAGGCTCAGGCGCCGGCGGTAGAGGGCAACGCTCCGTGAGCGTGGAATTGTACTCGTGGGTTCAAACGTGTTTGGAGAGGACGGTGGGAGAGGTTTTGAGAGGATTTTTGGCCGACGACGAGTTGCGACATCAAGTCGAGGTTAGGGAAAGGGACGAACTCGACACAATTCGCAGAGGCAACACTTGATCAGCGCTTCTTTGCACTTCTCGCTTTGAAGCAACCGACGCAGCTCGAGATATAAGGATTATTGCGAAGAGGGGTATCTTGCCACTAGGAACGACTGCACAACAAGAACAAACAAATTCTCCAACAAGCCTAAGTTTTCGTTCTCCCTTTCACGCCCGTGACCACCAGCGCGCCGTACGTTCCCGTTCTTTTTGAGGCTTGTCCCTCCCACCTCCACTGCCAGCCGTGTCTGGTGAGGTAGCCTGCAACTGCCTCCCCCAAGACACCCTTTCCGCCTCTCGAGTGATTCCCAACTCCTGTGATGATTCGGAGGGGTGTGGCTGCTGAGGTGTCCGCTGGAGAAGAACGAGAGCTGAGCGAAGGGAAGGCTATGAAAAGGTGGCGACGACTTACGCCGAGAGTACCAAGAGAGGCAAGCGTCCTCGACAACTTTAATGGCGTGCGCACTGTCGAGTTGGTGAAGGTCGTACTCGAAGTAGTTGCCGCTCTTGACCCTAGAAGGTGAAAAGGAACAGAGGCCACGTCAGCGTTCCCGTAAAGCGAAAGGAGGCGAAGAAAAGGAAAACGCACTGTCTAGACCTCACACGAGAGACCATAGCTTTGCTCTTCCAATTCCGCGCTTCTGTGTTATACTCTCTGATCCTGTCCGCGTAAACTGGAAGGCCGGCTCGCCCCAACGGATCCCTAGCCAGCTTCCTCGCCTGTGCCATCGCTTCAGCTTTCTTCTGCTCAAACTCTGCCGCCTTAGCCTCGCAGAACTTTGGATCCCACGACATCTCCTCGCGGTCTTCCTGCTCCCTGTGCGCGCGCTCCTTCCTAGCCGTCTCGCGCCAGTCTTCCGTCTCGGCGATCGTGACGACCCCAGGACGTTGATCCCACCGCAATACCGACTGAGGGATGGCGGCGCTGAAGCTCTCGTCCTCCTTGGCGAGATTCTCTGCCTCAATCCTCGCCTCCTCCTCTGCCTCCTTGAGCCTGCCGTAGATCTCGAACGCCGACATCAAGTCGCTCGACGTGCACATGAGGAGCATTTCGGCGTTGTTCCTCATCTCCTTGTGCCCTCCCTCGCCGATGAATTCAAGGAGATTCTCCGTGTCGGCCGTCTGAGGGAAGTTGGCCCTCGACGAGGCGATCATGCGGATGAGGGCGGTGAGCCACGCGACGCCAGTCTGGGAGGCGCGATGCCGCTTGTAGAACGAGCGGATGTCGTTGGCGGGGTAGTTGATGAGAGGGGAGAGGAAGGAGATGGTGCTTTCGAGACGAACTTCTTCTTCGGCGGTCATGGGTCGTTCCTTGCGAGGCGTCGGCTTCCACGCTTGAGGCGCTGACGTGGACCATTCGTTGGCCGTCGCGGAGAGTCGGGATTCAAGGAGGATGGGTGAGGTGAGAGAAGTGGTGAGAGCAGCCTTGTTCGACGCCTTCGCTCGCTTGCGCTCCGCTCGCGTTGGTCCTGCGGAGTCCGAGCATGCGTCCTCGTAAATCTCGTAGTCGCCCTGGTCGAACAACGCGCCTGTCCTCCCGAATCCTGATCCTCCAGTCCGGTCCGAATCTCCACCGTATCCACCACTCGAGTAGCCCGAGTCGGACGAGTCCTGCGTCGCGCTGGTGATGAACTCCTCGTTGAGCAACTCCTCCACGATCGTCTCGATGCTCAGCGCCTTGCCGTCGTCGCCCGTCTCCATCGTGAGCTTTGCAACCAGCATCTCGTCTGAGATGTGAGGGCACAAGGACCTGAGAAAGGTGACCTTGGTGCCCAAGTCGTCCTGATCTCCGAGATCCCACACGCTGACGTCCTCGAGCCCTTCGGCGGGGATCTCCTCCCACACTTCCTCCTCCTGCTGGACGCTCCCATCAGACTCGGAGCCAGAGTTGGCGTTCCAGCTATCGGCGAGGGTCTTGAGCGTCGATCGGATGGCGGCTTCGTCGCTGGGATTGGGAGGGTGCGAGAGGTCGGAGAGGAGCGCGATGAGGAGGGATCGGTCGAGAGGCGGGCAGTATTCGCTCTGTTGTCGGGAGCATATCCTTTTCAGCAAACGTCTGCCTGATTGCCGCGTTCGCACCCAGAGTGGAAGGGACGAACAGCGAGAGCCGCGAACAGCGCTGGGTGAGGAGGCGGAGCGGCAACCTCGGGAGCGGCTGGATCCTTCGCCATTGTGTAGAGATATGTGTAGTTGTTCCAAGGGAGCCACTCCCGTGCCGTGCCTCCCTTGCGAAGATGTGCGTCGTTCGTCTGCTTGTTGTGGTTGAAGGCCAAGGCACGCACGCGCCCCTGCGTCGAGGGAGATGTAGAGCTCGTTGCTTCGAGCCATTCTGCTTATGAGCTCGGAGAGCAGATAGCGGAGTTCCCCTTGCATCTTTTTGAGCTGCTTGCCAGTCCCGACATTTCGCTCACACTGAGCAAGAAGGTTGGCGCCACGTGGTGCTCGAGAAGGGGTGTAACTCGCGCCAGCGCTGATGATTTCAGACCAGACAGACAATCTTGCCACCAGCCTTGTTTGACTCCATGCACTCGTGAGCCTCCACAATCTGATCCAGCTTGAACACCTTCCCGACCGGCACCTTCAATTTCCCCTCCTTCACCTTCCTCGCCAGCTCGCTCAACGGAAGCTCCATGAACGCTTCGGCACTTCCGACATAAGAAGTCAGAAGAACTCCTGTAGGAATGACGCCCATGGGATTGAAATTCTCAATCGTCCACTTTCCAGCGACGATGCCAGTCTGGCACACGATCCCACCAACTCGGGTCGACTGGAGCGAGTCGGCTAACGTCGCCGGCCCGACGAGCTCGAGAACTTTGTCGAACCTCGCCCTATGAGCCTTCGATAGCTCTCCGTTGTCGATAATAACTTCGTCGACTCCGCTGGCTGTGAGAATGTCGGCGTTGGCGGGGGAGCGCGTCGTCGCCGTGACGAAGCAGCCAAAGTCTTTGGCGAGGGCGGCGGCAGCGAGTCCGACGGAGGTGGTGCCTCCACGAACGAGAAGCTTGTCGGAGCTTCGAAGTTGGAGAGACTTGAATAAGGAACCATGAGCGGTCTGCGTCGCGAGTGTCAGTGAATTTGGGGCTGGACGGCGGTGCTGAGGAGCAGAAGCCACAGCTTACCTGGAATGCCTCAGGCATAGCTCCAAGAGTCTCCCAAGGGATCTCAACCTCGATCTTTTTGACTTGCGTGGCGGGTACTACGGTGTACTCGGCATACCCTCCCTGAACGTCCCGTCGTCAGCACACGTGGTCATTCGACATTCACCCAGAGATGAGGGTCGAGGCCGACTCACATCAAAGTCTCTACCCATTCCGCCCATAGCTGTTGCGACAATGTCTCCTTTCTTGAGATCGGAGGAGCCAGGCGCACTTTCCACAATACCGGTGGCTTCGATTCCGAGGATGCGAGGGAACACGACAGCGGTGACGGGCGAGAAGCCTTGACCTGGATGTTGTTCAGTGCCCTTCAGTTCGGTGGTTTCAGACTCCAACGAAAGAAGAAAGCTCGGCTTGCGTGTAAACAGCTCGCTGCGGTTCAAGCCAAACGCCTTGACCTTGATGAGGACTTGGGACGTGGCCGGAGTGGGGATAGGAACACGCTCGAGCTTGAGCACTGAAGGACCCCCGGGGGAGTGCACTACAGCAGCTCGCATGGTAGACATGCTTTTGGCCGTAGGTCGAAGAATGGTGGTGGTAGGTGAAGTGGCGCGTGGGACGTCGGGGAGTCTCGAAATGAGATGGAGAAGTTGTTGGAGGCACAAAGGTGCGATAGAGTCAGCAACTTTCTATATTGAATATTGGTTTGCTCCGGGCTTCCTTTTGTTCGGATGACCGTCCTGTTGCAACGGACCTTCCAGCTCCGAATAAAAGGCTGGACGGAGAAACCGCACGATCAACGTCGCGGTGTCGCTATTCTGGTCGTGTGTAGGAGTTTGCGGTCTGAGATCCTGGTTGTTGAGAACAAAGAAACAAGACGAACAAGTTGATACACCACTACTGAAGGGAGAAAGCAGGCCGAAGGGGAAGATGAGGAAGGGGAAGACAATCCGTTGACGGGCGAGCAAAAATGTGTGGGCTGGCACCACGTGTCCTTCCTTTCCGATTTGTCGTACCGCATCGAGACTAATGCCACGCCTCTTTGCACCACAAAAGACAAACCACAGCTATCTTGAACTCGTCTAGAGTCACACATCCGCTGCTCTTCTCTCAGTCGACTTGCGACGGCTGGAAGGTCGGGGCACCTTGGGTGGAGCGCGTGCTCCCATTGTGGACGTGGCCCAGTACCACCGGCTACAAAGCGACCTCAAACAAACATCAAAGCTTGTGAAGAACAGTCAACCGGTAGCAATGAGATGCAAGTTCCCCTCTCTGTCTGCCGAACCCTGGGGCAGCACCCCCTCGAGACTGGAGAAGGAGCGAAAGAGGCACAAGCCAAAAGGGAAGCGCCCGTCCCATTTTTTTGTATTTAACATCTCAATTACAGAAAAGCTCCGTTTTTTTTTGTATCTAACATCTCGATTACAGAAGAGCTCCATAAGGGAGAAGAAGGAGTACAGGGTTAAATGCCTTTACGCACACGCTCCGTTGTAGCTGGGAGCCACAGCCTGATGCCACCGACAGTCCAGAATGTGCTCATAACTTCAAAAAGTTTCGGTAGCTCAGTGGTAGAGCGTGAGATTGCAATTTCCTATCGAATATTGTGATCTATCTCAAGGCCTCGGGTTCGATCCCCGATCGGAACTATCTTTTTGCACCCGTGCGGGTCGATTTCTTTTCGCGCGCGACAGGGTGCGGGCGCTCACGCGCCCGCCGCCTTGCTGCAAAGAATGGGCAGATTGGTCCAGAAGCTACGTCTCTTTTTGCTGTTGGGGATAAAGATTCTTGAGGGGAGGGGCACTGAAGGGAGCAGGTTCTACACAGCTTGTCGAACCGTCCCCTGTCTGAGCCTTGGAAAAGAGAGCAAATAACTTAAACTATTGATGATACAAGCCAAGTTGGCCCTCTTTTTGTTTCTGAAAGGTCGATTGAGATACATATTGGACAAGAGAAAAGAGAAACAGCCCAGAATTGCACAACAGCGCAGGAAGGCGCAAGGTTGCTCTATTGGACCGTTGTTCTGTACAATAGCCAACGCACGAAAAGGGCGGCGTTCAATTCAGACGAAGAGAAGAGTCACAGGTGCACTGTTCTGTAGGAAGTCAAAGCGGAAATATGTGTACATCGCCGCCGCTGCCCTTGACACCCTTGAGATCTATTTGAGCGAGGAAGGCGCCGCCGGCAGATGAAACTTGTGTTGATGCACGCTGCTGTCATAAGTTTACTTAAAATAAAAGCCTTAAGAGTACGCTTCTGCTATGCCTGAGGTGCTAAACGTCGTCCCGCACGTCGCGACTTGCTGCGTAGTTGCGAACACAAGCCGACTTCAACGTGAGCGTTCCCAACTATGCACGACCCATAAAAACTGGCCATAGGCACTGCTGCTTATTTCGAAAAGCCAATGCTGAACAGAAGACTGGTAGCATCGGGAGCTTCGTTTTCAAGCCCTTAGCTGAAGGACTAGCTAACGCAACGTGTTTCTCTTAGGAGTTTGCTGGACAGCCTCACAGTGCCACCTTGACCACGAGCAGTAAGTTCTGTAGCACTAGATCTTTGAAGCTACTGACAAAGTCTTACAATGATCTAAGCGACCAGCCGACGACGCGGGCAACGAGGCAGTGCGGGGGGGCGAAACGTGAGCTTGGTGGTTTCGCAGAACAGGAACGCCGAGGCTTCCCAAATCTGGGGGTAAACGAGCGTGGGAGCCTGTGCTCACACAAGCAAGAAAGGCCACGGAAGATGTGGTTTTGACTAGCCAGCGAAAGAAGGGGTACACCGGTCCCAATTGAGTCTCCACCACGTGGCGACCTGCTTCGCCCGGAGGAGGGCCAGACATCAAGACAACCACACTCCATGAAGAATTGTGCGCCAAGGAGATAGCAGCAACTCTGTGAATTACCGGAGAGCGTTAGCAGGCTTGGCTCACGAGCGCCTCACGCAGGGCTCACGTCAGGCCCAGTCTCTGCAATTCCGATCCACTCCTCAACGGTCCTCAACCACCTCACACTTCAGCGGACCAGAGCGAAGAAAAGTATAATGAGAGTTTTTTGCTTCATGTGAGGTAAAACCCTTTGTAACAAGATCGTACTTCTACAAAAAAAGGAGGGACGGCCGTTGGGAGCCTGGCCGCCTTGATTAAGAGAGGAAAGCGAAAGAAGAAGCGGATTTGATCATTTACTGTAAGAAGGGATGAGGAGTCAGCAATCAAGTTCTCCGTTTATCCCCGTCATGCTCCCAGCCACAAGGCTCAACGCCCAACCAACGCGGCGCGCGCCCCGCGCATCAAGTCGCCCCAAACGCCAAAAGTGTGACGAAAGGGAAAGCTTACGATCTTAACCGACTTCAATCCGTCCTTCCAGAAGGTCAAGTAAGGCTACGAGAAAGAATGGTCACATTAGCGTGTTTCGAGGAGTGTGGTGAGGAGCGAGCGGGCTTACGGTGGTGCCATCCTCACGGTAGTTGAGGAGAGCGACCATGCCGTCGGGGTTCTGTAAAAACCAAATTCAACTTCCGTATTCGACCAAGGGACAGACCTCAACGTACCATCGACTCGCCAGTGTAGAACTCGTAGTCCTTGAAGTTGCCGAGGACCCTAGAAGGAGGATAGAGTCAGCACCAATGCTTCTGCTGAAGAGAAGCAGAGCCGACGCACTTCTTGGCAAAGACGGCGGCACCCTTCTCGAAAGCGGCGACACGCTCAGGGTTCTTCTCCTGGAGGTGGGCCTTGATCTCCTTCATGTAACCCTTGAGGTAGGTCATGTACGACTTCTTGTCGAACGAGGTCGACTGAAGACGGAAGGAGTGGACAACGTTGTTGACGAGCGACTCGCCGTCGGCAAGCTCCTCGGCGGCCTCCTCAGCGGAACTGCATATCGTTCACCGTTTCGATTAGCTCACCACAGAACTCTTCCTTTGAAGGCAGAGGAAGGAAACGCACGCGTTGGCTCCGATGTCAACGTCACCCTCCTTGACGACAATCATGGCGCAGTCGACCTCGTAGACAATGTCATCGACCTCCTTGGGCTAAGAAACGAGGCCGTGAAAGTCAGTCAAAGCTCAGCCGCGAGACGTGAATGCGGGAGGTGAGCGGTGGCCCCGCGAGAGAAACGTAGTGAGGCGGACGGGGAGAGTTGGAGCTTATCGGGCGGGGTGAATCAACACCTCCAAGTGCCAGCCATGCACCAACCTCCGTCGCATGCACTGCCACAGCTCTCATGGCCCAGCTCCAACCTCCCACCCGCGCCACCAATCGTCACGCTCCAGTCTTGCCCTCGTGCCGCCGCTCAACGACCCGTGGAGACGAGCACTCACGTCGAAGGCGTCTCCGATCATCTCGTCGCTGGTGAGGACATCGGTGAACAGAAGCATCTTAGATGAAGTTTTTGGCTGTTGTCGACGGTTGCGGGAGAGGCGAGAACGAGAACAAGGAGCGAAGGGCAGAGCAGTCGTGGAAGTGGGCGGGTTGTAGACACAAAAGGACGGCGCGAGTCGCAAGTAGAGGCGGAGGAACAGTAGCAGCAAAAGTTAGTGAAACTTTTCGCACGAATTAGCTGGACGACAGCGGCGGCTTACAAGGGTGGACGGGGAGGTGAAGGGAAGAGAGAGGGGGGCGGCGCGGAGCTTGGGAAAAAAATCCTCGCAGAGGTCGAGACCCCCACAAGGGCCGCCGCCCAATCCCGATACGGCAGGCGACGACCCCCCTTCCTCCCTCCACTTGGCCTGCCATCGTCGCCTTTGGCTTCGTTCGACACCTACCACCAAAACTCTCACTACTTTGAGCTGGACGAGAGCATTCGCCAACAATGTGAGCATACTTTCCACCTCTCAGGGCAGCGCGAACTCTCGCACACGCGTGCCCAAGTGGCGCCCGAGCTCCGACCTCTGCCTCCTTCACTCCGGATCGTCTCAAGAGCTACGAGAACGAGCAGTACGTGAGAGAGCAGGTGGTCGAAGCTTACTGGATGGACGAAACACGAGTGGTAACGAAGAGGCGCGGCTGCCACGACTTCGTCGTCCAGCCCGGCGCGTCATCCAACCCAGGCGCGTCGAGCACAGGAACGCACACGGCGAATGGACTGTGTTGGAGGACATCGAGGAAACGATCTGTATCACGACTCTATCGACAGTCTTCTACCACTTTCTTCCATCCACTTTCTCGCTCCCCAACGACGAGCGTACACCTCCTGAGCTCGGGCCCCCACAGCTCCCCTCGTTTCACGGCAACTCCAGCTGACCCGATCCCCATGCACGTCCACAGGCCCCTCCCAGACGAATCCCGAGCGTCGACAGCCTCGTCGCTCATCAAGCGCTTCCAGTCCCAGATCCAGTCGGACGAGGCCCCGCTCGTCCCCGTGTCCGCGTTCGGCAGCCCAGCACCGCCGCCCGTCCCGCCGGGCGGAAGGAGGAGCATCGGCGGTGGTGTCATCCCGCTGGGAGTTAGGATGGACGAAGCAAGGAAGAGCCTGGAGGGGAGCCACAAGGCAAGGGCCTCGCTCGCTCCTGCTCAGACCGCGAGCTCGACGTCGACACCGGTACCTCCGACACCCATGGCCGACCCCGTACCAGACGCACAAGCCATCCCTCCTTCGCCACCTTCAACAACCCCACCCATCCCTACTCGCACACCCTCGCCCCTCCCTTCCCTCCCAACCGTGACAAAACCGTCGCTTGACGTTCCGACTTCGTCGACCGCGCCCGCGTCGTCGTCCCTCGATGCAGCAGGAGATCCGGCCATCACGTCCCTCCCGACCACCCTCGAAGGCCTCTCGAGACCGAGTAGCCCTCTCGTAGAAGAAGGGAAGCTCGCCGTTCCTCCTCCGAGAGAGACCAACTCGCCGCCGCCGATCGACGACACCCCTGCGTCGCCTCCTCAGCCTGCTCCGCCAGCACCGGAACCAGACCCAACGCCCTCTCCTCCTCCCGTCGAACCAAAACCCACACCTACCCCCAGCAGAACTTCTACACCTGCCAAAAAGCGTCCCAGCGTCTCCGGCTCGCCTGCTAAACCCCGGACGACACCAAAACCTACGCGCCCGATCGTCCAAGGCATTAGCCAGCCCACAGCCTCCTTCCTCGCCAAAGCGAAGCCACGCGTCTCGTCCTCCAGCTCGCCTTCCGCGTCGCCTTCTCGAACTGCTACACCTAACCCTTCTTCTGGGTCGAGAGGCACGGGAACAGTCTCCCCGACGGCGAGTAGGACGGGGTCGACAAGGGCTTCGACGCCGGGTTCGAATCCGTCGAGCTCACCGAGGATCCCTAGCTCGACGAGGATGTCGCCCTCAAACTCGAGGGATCTGTCGGCTAGTTCTGCCGCCCCTCCTTCGTCAACGACGCCGAAGAAAGTTTCCGCAACACCGACGACGCCGCGAAAGCCCGTCGCGACGAGTGGGACGCCTAGATCTCGTGCTGCTGCGGCTGCTGCCGTGGCGAAGGAGACGAGTGGGAGTGTGAATGGAGCAACCACTTCGAACAAAACTGGGGCTGGAACGGCAGTAAGAAAGGGGTCAACGTCGTCGGCATCGGCTTCGTCGTTAAGGGGAGCGTCGAGCCCGGCGTCAAGGGGATCTGCTGTGAGGGGGAGAGGAGGTGCGACGGCTGCGGCTAGAGGTGGAAGAGGCGGAGCAGTTTCAGCATCCGCACCACCGTC